GTGCTTTAGATTCATTTGTTATAAGATTAATAGGTTGTCCTACTGGGACATCAATTTTAATAGGAGCATTCTCGGCGGGAACATGTGATTTAGTTACTCTGTTTGGATCAAAGAATACATCCGGCGGTTGGTTTGCAAGACTTTGTAAATGAATTATCCTTTGAATTTCAAGTTCATATTGTTTTGTACGGGGATCAAGATGATATAAAGATGAAGTATTCCATGTAATTTCTTTTTCCAACATTTCTAATCGCTTATTCTGTTTATTTTCTCCCCTAATGTTGGAAAAATTGTTTCTTCAAAATGACAATCGACAAAACGAGCCATAAAAACATCCCTCGTTAATGGTTCAAGATATTTAATTATAGAAGGAGATTCATATCCAACATATATTCCCAATCTCCTCCGAGGACCCATTTTAGTTCGTTGTGGAGGAGTAATTGGGACATATATCGCACATCCAAAAATCCTTAAATGAGAAATATTAGGCTCATGACCGAAAACCAATTGAAGGGGAGATAATTTCGATAACTTATAGGCTCGATGCGAATAAGTGTTCGTTGCATGTAAAATTGCATGTCCCCAAACATAAACAGGAAGTTTTGTTTTCATAAGTAATGGTCTAGCTATCAATTGGAGGCTTTTGATAAATGATTCCGCTAGACCATTTTGACTATGAACATGAGCAACGAGTACGTTCAACTCTTATTCCAATAGACATGCAATAATCATTAAAAGCTTGAGATGTAAATTCACCGACATTATCAAGGCGAATTGTTTTAATGGTATAATCTGGAAATTGTGCTCGTAATCGAATTATTTGAGCAAGTAACCTCGAAAACGTCGGGTTTCGAGTTGATAATAAACATACATGTGACCATCTTGTAGATGCATCTATTAAAACCATAAAATATCTAAATGGTCCACATGGTGGATGAATTGGTCCACATATATCACCTTGTATACGTTCTAAAAATGCTTGAAGAGTCAATCTCAATTTTATTTGGTGAAGGCTTAATAATAAGTTTGCCTTGAGCACATGCGGAACATGAAAACTCATTAGCTTGAAGAATCTTCCGGTTCTTCAATGGATGTCCATACGAATTTTCAATAATTTTTCGCATCATAATGAATTCGGGATGGCCCAATCGATCATGCCACAAAATGAAAGGATTAGTAAACTTCGGTTTACTATGACATTTGTTTTAATCCTTTGAATATTTATATAATAAATGCCGAAGAGAAAGCGAGTAATTTCTCCAATACATATTTTCTACTCGATTTAATTTTTGTAATATATAAGTACTCAATATTCTCAACATTTGTTGTCTCAATATGATATCCATTTAAACGAATATCTTTAAAACTCAATAAATTTACGTAGGACTTATGAGAGAATAATGCATCATCTATAATCAAATTTGTCCCTCTAGGTAGTAATATATTTGCTCTTCCGGAGCCATTAATTAAATCAACACTACCGGATATAGTGTTAACATTAGCCTTGCCCATCGTTAAATTGGAGAAATACCTTTTATTTTTAAGTATAGTATGTGTGGTTGCACTTATCCACGAGGCATAGATTCTCCTCCATGACGTTTAAACCAATTGCAAACTTGGTAATATCAATATATTCTTCATAAACACAAAAACAAACAAATAAATAAAAATAAAAACTAATATGATGAAATAAAAATAAAACATAAAACTTCTTTATTTATCAAAAGGTAACAAAATTTCAAACAATTATCATTAACTTAATAATTTTTTCTTTCGAGTCTTCAAAGAAATCAGCAACATCTAAATGTGTTAAGTTACTGAAATCTTCGAGAGGAACATTGTCACAAACATTATTTTGATATATAAAATGTGCCTCTATATCACTTTCTTTCTTTTTCAATGAGGCTTGATAAAGCTCAACTGGGTGTTTTGGCGTACGACGAGTACGCGACCAATGTCCCTTCATACCACATCTATAACATTCATTTTCGAAGTGTCGACTTGATCCACCTTTATTCTTTTCTTGTTTCTTTTAATAATTTATCCACTTCGGGGATGAGGTGTATTATTATTACCACCACGATTATAACGATAATTATTCCGACCACGACTAATGCCACGACCACGTCCACGTCCATAGTTACGGCTACGATCACGTCCACGCCCAAAATTATTATAAGATGTCACATTCACTTCGGGGAATGGAGTAGATCCAATTGGGTGGGATTCATGATTTTTCATCGGTAGCTCGTTATTTTGTTCGACCACAAGTAGGCATGAAATCAATTCAAAGTATTTCTTAAAACCTTTTTCTCGATACTCTGTCTTTGTATGAGCATATTCGAGGCATGAAAAGTAGAGAATGTTTTCTCTAACATATCGGAATCGGTAGTATTTTCTCCACATAATTTTAGTTGGGAACCGATTCTAAATACTGCAGAATTATACTCACTTACGGTTTTAAAATCTTGTAACCTTAAGTGCATCCAATCATAACGAGCTTTTGGAAGAATCATCGTCTTTTGGTGGTTGTATCTTTCCTCTAAATTTTTTCACGGTTCAAGTGGATCTTTCAATCGTTAAATATTCGGTTTTCAAATCTTCATGGAGATGATGACGAAAGAAGATCATTGCCTTAGCACGGTTTTGCAAGGATTCTTGATTATCATCCATGATTGTTTATCCAAGGCCATTAGCATTTAAATGTATCTCGAGCATCAAGCACCCATGATAAATAATTCTTGCCCGAAATGTCAAGGGCCACAAAATCAAGCTTTGTGAGGTTTGACATGATAAAAATTCTATAATACAAGATATAATAATGATGTTAGAAAATAAAAACAAACATAATAATAATATTCAAACTTCTCAAAACAACATGCATTAGATTATTAGAATATATATTAGATTATTCAAGTTTTCAAATATACATTATATGTACTATTAGATTTAAAATAAAAGATAGATTAGGTACATACCTCTTAATAGGCTAGATGATTTGCATCGTTTGGTAGAACAATCGTGCTGATAACGTGTTGTGAAAAATAAAAGATATATGAGAATTTAAAGGAAGGATGGCAAGAAGAAGAATTCACTATAAAGTGAATACAAGTAAGAAAACTTCAAGTTGTTCTCTTAATCTCTCTAAAAACTTGTACATCAACAAATGAACAATCAAGCCTATTTATAGGCCTCAAAATTGAGATGAGAATTGGAAGGGACTATGAATAATTAAAAGTACATCAATTGCATCACCCTTTCAATTTCTCAAATTGAATGGTGAATTGAATCACATTAAGGATCATGAGTAGTGGGGATATGAAAAGTAGATGGACATTCATATGGACATTCATTATTTTATAACAATAAGTTCATCTTTGAAAGATAAATTAACAATAAATTATATGCTAATTTTTAAGATTAATAAATTCACTTTTATAGTTTAACTTCCACAAAAATTAATATTTAATTGTACTATCTGCATCATCTTTACCTAAAAAATTACCAATAAATTGATTTTTCTTTTCTATAGTTTTCTTAAAAAAACCTTTCATAATAACTTTTTGGAGTGTCCAATTTCTCGCACTTGTAAAATAGTTTATGATTTTCATCTTTTTTTTTATTACCATTATTGCAAATCTTGATTGTATTCAAATCAAATCGTGATAGTAAAACTATATATATTTTATATTTGTAATTTTTTTAAAATAAAAAATTTAATGATCATTAGCATAATGACGTGCTTTAAAGCTTTTTCTAAGAATTACAACAATCGTTAACAAAAAAATTGTACGATAATAAATCTTTAAATTTTTAAAAATCTAAAAAATGTTTTAGTCAAAAAATCTAAAGATAATACAAGTTAAAAAACTTATATAACACATCCTGTTTTAAAGTATTTTCTAAGGCAAAAAGAAAAATAAAAAATTTTCAAATGTAGTTTAAGGATTTTGAGGAAAATATAAGAAGACATAAACGTATTTAGAAGAAAAACTTAAAAACTGAATTTATTTGTCTAACAAAAATATAGAATTAATTGGTCAAGGATGAAGGCATATGTCAAGGATGTAGTAAGAAGAAATATTTCACAAAAAAACACTTAAAAAGCACAACAATACAGATTTAAAAATTTGATACAAGTAGATTGATATCAGTATAGAAAAAGATAATGACATTTGATTATTATTATTATAAATTATTTAAAGTTTGAATCAAATAATTAATTAAACAATGTGAGGGTTGATATGTGTTTTTGCATAGTTTAGTTGACAAATTTATCACTTAAAGGTTATGAGCATTTTTTTTTCTTGTTTTTGATTTTTATTTTTTGAAAAATAAAATCTTATTTGGTTGAGGACGTTCTATTTTTTACAAACGATTTGATTTTTGAGTTACTAGGATCGACACTTACGTTATTTAACTCTTAATCTAATTCGAGCATTCCGAACCCTATTTAGGCCAACACTAGAGCCCAATGTCTCATCCTAAGATAAATCAATAGGTTTTGAACTCGATTTTAAGTTTGAATTTTGAGCATCTAGAATCCATTCTCTAAACTTAATTTTAGATTGATTTTTTAAAATTCAACTTAAATCACAAGGTGCTAAAAAAAACAATTTAAAAAATTTGTTGACAATCTTTAGTTTTTTGAAAACCAAAAACCGGAACAATCAAGTTTTTCTCATTTTTTTTCACAAAAAGCTTTCGAAAAGAAAAGCAGAAAACAAAAACAAACATATACTAAAGTTTGAAATAATTTCCAAAAAATAAAAAAAAATAAATTCTTTGGGCTTTGTTGGGGCTGGCACCACCAAGCCCACTGATCATAGCCCAGTGATGATATCAAAAATTCTCAAAACCCTAGCTTGCTTATGCTTAAGCTTTCTCCCTATATAAAAATCACATTTCAGCTTGCCCACTCACTTCCTCGCTGCCTCTCTTGCTCAGAAAACCCTAGAAAACAGCAGCGGCAGCAGCTCTTTCTCTTCTCTGTCTCAACCATGGCCACCGATACCCTCGTCCTTCGCGGCACCATGAGAGCCCACACTGACCAGGTTACAGCAATAGCTACACCTATCGACAACACTGACATGATTGTCAGCTCATCCCGTGACAAATCCATCATTCTTTGGCACTTGACCAAAGACGAAAAAACCTATGGTGTCCCTCGCCGTCGTTTGACCGGGCACTCGCACTTTGTCCAAGACGTCGTCCTCTCCTCTGATGGTCAGTTCGCTTTGTCCGGTTCCTGGGACGGCGAGCTCCGTCTCTGGGACTTGGCTGCTGGCGTTTCTGCTCGCCGATTTGTCGGTCACACCAAAGATGTGTTGTCTGTTGCTTTCTCTATTGATAACAGACAGATCGTTTCTGCTTCAAGGGATAAGACAATCAAGCTGTGGAACACTCTTGGTGAATGCAAGTATACCATTCAAGAGGCTGAATCTCATACCGATTGGGTTTCTTGTGTCCGTTTTAGCCCAAATACATTGCAGCCCACGATTGTTTCTGCCTCGTGGGACAAGACAGTGAAGGTTTGGAATTTGACTAACTGTAAGTTGAGGTCTACCCTTGCAGGACATGGTGGGTATGTGAACACTGTGGCTGTTTCGCCAGATGGGTCATTGTGTGCAAGCGGTGGGAAAGATGGGGTGATTTTGTTGTGGGATTTGGCTGAAGGAAAGAGGCTTTACAGTTTGGATGCAGGTGCAGTTATTAATGCCTTGTGCTTTAGCCCTAATAGGTACTGGCTGTGTGCGGCCACCGAGAATAGCATTAAGATTTGGGATCTGGAGAGTAAGATGGTTGTTGATGATTTGAAGGTTGATCTCAAAGCTGAAGCTGAGAAATCTGAGGGTACTACAGCTACTGCTGTAAGTACCAAGAAGAAGGTAATACATTTTTCTGCCTTTTGTTTTTTCTTAGCTTTATTTGTTTGTTTTTTGCTAAAAAGTTTGTATTGTATGAATACGTTTTGCTGATTTTGGGATTGGAAATGGTGGTTTCTGTAAGTTGTTTATGTGATAATTTATATATTTGCTAAGTTGGATGGTTTTTGTTAACTGCTGGCGTTCTACTTTGTTTCTCCAAGTGTTAAATTAAATTATTACTTAATTATCTTAAGGTATGGGGGTCTAATTTTTTTTTTTTTTTGGTTCGGCTGTTGTATATTATTTCATTTTTTATTACCGTTGACTGCAATCCTTGCATTTGTGTGATAAGAATTTTGCATGAAGTTTTCTATTGCTAGAAAATTAAATTTTCTGTCTGTTATGATGTTAATTTCTAGTTAGAAGTTGTGATTTTCAGACTTTCTTTGCTAGTTGCTTCATGTTCTTTTCTCATTTGGTTGCGCCTGTTACACAGTTGGCAGGGCATGCAGAGTGAGTCATTTTATTCAAAACCACTCAGTGCATTCGAGATTCTTAAGATCTGGTCGACTCCAATATATAGATTTGATCTTGCTGTCGATTGATCGATCGTTTTATTTAAAGTATTTGTTTGGACGGTATGCTTTAGATGACAATGGTGAAATTGTGGGTTTAGAATTGTCATTTTATGATCAATGCTGTTATTGGTGATGCATCATTGAGTTCTTTATACCTGTAGGATTAATTGTTGGCGATATGAGAAAGATAATTGTGTTTCTGTGATAATTATAAAGCAATCCCAATTCACATCATTTTGCTTTGTGTGTTGTAGATCTACTGCACAAGCTTGAACTGGAGTGCCGATGGAAGCACCTTGTTCAGTGGTTATACCGATGGTGTTATCAGAGTCTGGGGAGTTGGTCGCTATTAGGAAAGCTTTGAGTAGTTACCAGACGCCTTCTTTTTGTTCTGACGATAAAGCAAATGCTTTTTTTTTAGTAGTTTGAGACCTATTTATGATTTTGTTGAAAGAATTGGATCTTATGTTCTCTTTATGCTGGATGTTATAAATTGGTTTGAGCCCCTGCTATATTTTTGTTTTTGATATCACATGTTAGATTTGTTGGTTTTGAATTTCTTGTTAGTACAAGTTGTTTCTCAAATTACTGATTTTGGTTCTCCCATCTGTTTGGTCTTACAAATTATGTTACGTTGTGCATCATGAGCATTGATGCAATCCTTCTGAATCAATGCTGAAGGTTCTCGAAGGTCTTTAGTAATTGAGAGGCTAATGTTGCTGTTACAGTATATTATATTGCTTCCTTATCAAACACGAGCCCTAAATGAGGGACTGAATTTTGCCCAGCTACTTAATTTCTTTGTTTTGTGAATAAGAGGGATAAATGACATTCGAGAGATGGCATATGCCTTGTTTTCCACTTCTACGATCATAGATTCTTTTGAGTATTAGTGTCTTTTGGGAAGCGTAAAACTTCCGGCTTGAAGAAAATTGGTGCATCTGTATGCCCACTGAACTGGTGAATCATGGATGAATGACGGGAAAGGTGCACCGGAGGCCAAGTGCATGAAGGGAGAGGTTTAGAAATGTATTTAAATGCGAATGTGGTATTGGAAATCATGAGTGATGTCATGTGCTATTAGTTTGTCTTAAAGCAGTTTTTGTAGCTTGTTCGTCTCCCATGAGAATAGCTAATTCTCACCAATTTTATTGATTTTTATGAGACGATCTATAAAGATAACAGAAGTGTTTTTGAGGCAAGTTGCATGGTTTAAGTTGCAATTAAACTGTTTAGCACCAAATTACGCCGATTTTGGTAAGAATTTAACGTTACAAATTTTGTTTCTTGAGAAGCAGCATGGACATCGGACCCCATCAAATCCAATTCAATTAATCTCACCCTTAACATCTTCAAACTAATGCATTTATTCCACTGCGTTGTTATTTTAAACGCATGTATTAATCCCAATGAAATAGCGTTCAGCAGTGAAAGAAATCGAAATAAAACCACTTGTATAGCCGTATAGAGCCTATTAAAGAAGATGGCACAAAAGCCTGATCGGTGCATTTTACTTGGAGATCATGCTTAAAATTGCTCCGTTTTCAATTCTTTTCATGTATTTGTTTAAGAAATCACATTCAGCTGTATACTACAAAATTCACAATAATCAGCCTCCAAAAGCCCCAGCCTACACCAGAATTCCAACTTCGTTTCTCCCCCGACCTAAATAAATAATAATTCCTATTTACGGATTTCTCAAACCCTGGAGGTATAAACTCTGCGCTCATCATCAGCTTTGTGGACGTCTTTTATAATACCGAACGGTCTCCCCACTGGCTGATGGACAGTGGTTGGACTGTTCACCAAGTCCACCTGGCTCAATGTCACTGCCTATGATAGTTGGCTTAGTACTCGATCCAATCGAGTTCTTTACAAAACATGACAAGTTGTCTGGATCTGTATCGTTGTGAGGTTGTTCTACCCCTTCGGACTGCAACTGCAGCCCCTTTCTCACAGGGGAGTGAGTGTTAACCCCATAACAACTTCCAGGAAGTACCCCACGCCTTGGCTTTAGTTTTTTACAGAGTAAGCTAGCAAGAGTAATGTTACCAGGCTCAAGATCAGCTTCCTGATTGATGCTCCCTGGTTCTCTCACTCCTTCCGTGGGAGGAAATGCGTCACAATTGCTCACATCTAACTCACAGTGCTCCGTCTGCATATGACTTTTGCCATTGTAGCATGTCTGACCTTCACCATTGTGCACAACAGATGGCAATTTATTACTATTGTTAGGTTGATCTACTCTCGAGAGCACTTCAGGTGTCATTATCATACTGGAGGATGAGCAAGCCTGATCAGCTTTTTGTGCAACTTTGAGGCTTCTCTTCTTTGATTTACTTTTAAGAAAGGAGGCAAGAGTAACATTATCTTCATCTTTCATTTTTAAAACCTTCTTCGAACAAGATTTGCCTCTGGGTTTTGATTTTTTGCTATTATCTTGCTGAGAAGGAACAGAAGCAGAACCTTGGTCTTTCCTCGATGGTTCTGCAATTCTTACTTTCTGCCTGCATGGAAGCTTCAAAGCCTTGCTCTTCTCATCTGAAGTGGTCCCGACCAAAGAGGAACGGTCTGTGTTTTCAGTACCAGTTACTCTTAATTCTAAACTCTCTGAATGCGGCTTGGGCACCCTCTCCTTGCCAGGAGCATCAGGCGGACCAAGTGCATTGTCCTCTTCATTGGTTATTACTAAATTTGAATCCAGATGATCATCATTAATCAATGCACGAGCATCAATAGTAGTTTCTGATAACACAGAACTCCCTTCACCTGATTTAGCACATATTTTCTTCCTAGAATGCTGCTTATGAGCTCTTCTTTTTTTACTTGACGTAGTGCTCCTCTGAGGAAAGGTCTGAAAAACATCACCATTTATTATTCCAGCTTCCAAGTTTTCAGAAGGTAGCAGGAGAAGACTCTCGCTGTTGCCATCTCTATCCACAGGCTTGTGTCCCTTAGGATTTGGGTCAGGAAGCTGGTTCTGACTGGAACCAACCCCTTGAATGCTGGTTGTAATTAACGGAATCGAAATAGAATTAGATGATGGGTGATCTTGACCTGATCCAGCATGACTGTTATTTTTCAAACAACATTCCATTGTTGTCTCAGCCACAACAGAATGACTTGCACCTAAGTTGCTAACCAGAGCGTCATTGGGTAGTCCTGGCACTTCCTTGGAAGAAATTTGCACCTTTTTTCTACACCTGTTTGATTTGATCTTCTTTAAAGTATTACTGAATTCCACAAAAAGGAGAGAAAACTAAGTGCCATGATTGAACCAAGAATAACCCTACAGATACTGATGTAAATAATTCCTTAGTGGCATAATAACATGACAAACAAGAAAAACAAAATCATAATACATGAAAAAGGCAAGTAACATGATTTGAAAGATAACTTACCCAGGTGCAGGAACCTTTTCATTCAGAGATTCTGCCCCCTGCACAGAAGGGAAGGGCTTGAATCAAATACAGGATGCAATAAAAACAACAAAAAAACAAGATGGCAATATTTGAAATTCTGAACATCATACCTTAACTTTCTCTTACGTTTCCTAGATTGATCCATCTTTTCAGGTTCAGATACTGGTCCTGTAATTGCCAGCAGAACAAAATCATTTGGGCCAAGTGCTGGCCGCTCTGACTCGCGATCTACGAAGTTGCTTATAAGAGCAGCTTTCTGCATCCTCCTAGCCGCTTGTAACAAAGGCACTTCATGTGGAACCAACGCCTTCCATCTCCTGGTTATATAAATAGATGCAAGTGAAAATGAAATCTAGAGAAACTTCATATAGTGAAAATCAGAACAACGAACAAGTAACACAACCAGATGTTTTAAATCCATTCATTAAAATCCAAAACATAATACCTCAAACACTGATTATCAGTTCGTCGTGGGAGACGTTCAGCAACCTTAGACCAGCAATACCCAAATTCTTCAATTGCAGCTTTTAACCTCAAATCCTCTTCTTCAGTCCATTCATCCCGATTCAAACTAGGATCCAAACAATTAACCCATCTGTCACATGAATAAAAAGCCAACATTAGTTCATATTGTCTACAAAATAAAATCTACTTCAACTTTGAGATTATACTATACCTTTCTCTACACTGCACTTGAGTTCGACCTGGCACAAATTGAGCTATTTTCTCCCATTTCTTTGGACCAAAAAGCTTCACAGCTACTTTCAGGCGTTTGTCTTCATCCAGAGTCCACCTCCCCACCCTTCGTATATCTGGATGAAGGGTTTTCTTCCATCTGTATATTGACATATCATGACAGCACACTCATTTAACAGAATTGGACTTAAACAGCTGCACAAGAATCATATAAGAAAATCTGTAGTCTACAATAATGATCGTCATCGGATGGTAGGCAGGGATTATCACATGAATCAATTCAAGGACTATCACATGAATCAATTCAAGGACTATCACATAAATCAATCCAAGGACTAATATAAAGGATGAACTGAGACCACTGATGGTGCAGAAGGAAAGAAAGTGAACCTACATGGAATGTAAAAACAAAAAAGAATATGAACTCATGAGAAAAGTATGCTTCAGTGAAAAGCCATATTACGACACCTTTGATGACACAATTTAAGCATATTGGGCAGTGCTGATCAAAGACTGAACATAAACGGTAGGCCGGATGCTTTAGCCAACAACTCTTTTAGGCCACACAACCTGTGTTTGTGGCCAGGACCTCAGTGCCAATAACAGCATAATCTAAAGATTAATAAACACCTAAGGAGTCTTCAAAAACAGCATAAGAGGATAACCAAATAGAATCTACTAGTAGAACTTTCTACATTTGTGTAATGGTAGGATATAAGCAAGCAGGCCCAATAGAATTTAGAGATATAAGACAACATACAGGGGCCATATTGCCAGACTTAATTTGTGAATCTTAAACAAAAACACACATATATACAGATGCGAGCACCCATTTTCACCTTTTGGGTAAAGATGACAAAGTAAAACAAATAATACTGGAAGAAAAAAACAAAAAATGACAAAAATATGCCTTTGTCTATCAACTAGGCAACTATAAGATTTAAACAAGTTAGAATATAAAATCCCTAGACGATTTTACAGGGAGGTGTCCTGCATCAAACTAAAGCAGCAGGCACTATAAAAGACTTCAAATCTCACTTAGGAAAAGACAATACGTCATTAGCATTTATCACAATTTTCTAAAAAAATAAAATAAAATAAAATATAAATAGCATGCATAAAAAATAAAATGGTAATGTTGGAGAAAAACTAATCACAAAACACCATGCATATAACCTCCATTACATTAAAGGAAAGGATTCAGATTTATTTGGGAATATTTCACTAGCATAATATTTTTTTTTAACCCTCACCCCAGAATACAAAATGTTTACGAAGCATTTAGGCTGTGTAACTTGTGGATAATTTTCCAGCTTTCTAGCAAATTTTTCTAGGAAATAAAAAACTATAGAAATCAGGTTTCTCATTGAAAATGAAAATTGTTACTCGGAAACGATTGTTTTCTATTTCTCTTAGTTTTTTGAAAATTGAAAAACACCAAAAATTTTTCCACCTCTCCACTATAAAAACAAGGGCCTTGTTTGGTTTATCTATTTTTTATGTCTATCTCTTTTATTATTTTAATGTAAGCCAAACAAAGCCCTTTTATTATGGAAAATTTGTATTCAATAAACATGTTTCCTTAATTTTCCATGGAAAAAATATTTTAAAAATAAATAATAAAACTAGAGATGGAAACTACAAAACCACTTTCTTCACTGAGGAAAAGGCTGCCAAGAAGTGATAAGAATAAAAGTTAATGTGGGAAAAGGAAAGTGCTTCACAATTTATAAGAGTAAATGGAGAAGAAACTAAAAAGACATGAAAAGTCGAAAACAAAAACTGGTTTTTGGTTTGAAATCGATTTTCTTTTGGTAGTAAGAAATTTCACACAGAGAATTCAGCGACTAAAAGATGTGCTCAAATTAAATACTCAGAAGACATGTTTTGAGGGAACAAACTAACCTGTTAGAGCATTGCGTACCAGTTCGTCCTTCCAAAGTAGAGGCCACAGATTGCCAATCTCTTTCACCATAAGTTTCTACAGCAGTGCGAAGTTGAGCATCCTCCTCCTTGGTCCACTCCCTCTTCAGTATGCGAGCATTTAGACTCCTCTGGAAGCGAGATAGACACTGAAATGGGGTCCTATTTGTTCCTAATGATACTGCAATATCAAACCAGTTAGTGACCCCTTTTTCCTGGACAATAAACAAGAGATGCTTATCCTCTTTGACAGTCCATGGACTTTGATTTATCAACGGATCTTCAAAATTCAGCCACCTGCAGGAATTAACCTTTTACATCAAGATAAACACATATAGCAAGCAATTCAGATGGTGATAGCACTTTTACGAGATAAAATATGTGAGCGCACAGGAAACTGTGATGACAATCATCACAGACGTAATCAACACTGATGTTTTGAGTAAAGCAGAAGTCATTTATGGGTCCCACCTGTATGACTTGCATTAACCTTGTGCTTTTATTCAAAGCCAACAATGGTAAAGATGTCTGTGATGATTGTCGTCATAGACGTCTGCAAATCTAGCTTGACTGAAGGAGAGGGGCTTCATAAAAAATAAATAAAAATGAAAACACTTGTCAAGAAACTGCACAAATGGAGACCAGAACGAAATCAAACATGGACTTAGGAATCACTAGTCAAGGGGTGCAAAAATAGAGACCATTAAAGAAACAGAGGAGCCTAGAGCTAGAAATCCATCAAAAAATGCCAAGAGTGTAATAGAAAACTATGGAAGGGATCAAATGAATTTAGATACTTAATTTGTTGAGGAACAAGAAGACTATTTATTTATTTTAATTTGGGTTCTTGAAAGAATGATAATGAGGGAACATTGAATCTCATTTGAAATGACTCATTAAAAATTAAACAGAAGCTAAATGCTGCTTGCAAAATGCTAGGATTTTTATTTCACTAAGACATAATTAACCACATCTACAACCAATTAAGAAAAATAGTTTTCCTATTAGCTGAAATTTGTTGCCTATCCTCAAAGAAAGCTAATACCAACTGGCAATTAACAATCTTAAATTAATACAAGAAGAACCACCTAGTCATAAACAAACCAGCCAACACTAGTTCATGCTCCTATGAGCAAGGACAAGAGGTCATTTAACTAGATAGAAGGGGAAAACATGGGCTTAGAAGGTCAAGGAAGTGTCGCAAGGTTAATATTTCAAAGACTGCCAGAAATTTTTGATTGTCAATTTAATAATCAAATGGAAAATTATTCAAGATAGCTCAGAAAAACATGTCCATGGTTAAATACTTAATAAAAAACTCAAAACAATCCATGCAAAGAAGGTTCATAATTTGACTGCAAAGTAAAAGTTTGCTGTTAAAAAGACTACCTACCGTGCTTCACACTCCGCACCAGAGCGACCTGCAACATACGAGGAAGCCAACTGATCCCAATTAACCTTTGGAAGAAACTCTCTAATCTTTTCTGGGGTAATTTCAAGATCTCTGATCGATACGAGAATACTATCCAAACTATTTGCATCTCCAGGAGATCCTTCTGAACTACTTGAAGATAAAGTGTGTCAGCAAAAGAAAAGCTAGGTAAACAAAAAATAAAATAAAATAAAAAATCTAAAGAAGTCATTTATCTGTATAATGCAATGCCTAATAGTTCAATAAACAAGAACTGAAATTGCATCGGTAAAAGCTAAAATTACACTGTATGCATTGATTTTTCACAAGAGATACATGCAAGGCTTAAGGCATACACATACATACAGAGAGAGAAACAAAATCAATGATTCAGCCTTGCTCACCAAAGAACTCACAATACTATTTTTATGCCTACACCACATAGATACACACACATACATCATGCATATATAGATACATAAATTCAACCCCCTCCCTTTCCCAGCCACCTTCAAACACAAAAACAGAATAAAATATGAGAAACTCCACATATTCTAAAGTACATAGAAGTGTTATTTAAGTGTGTCCAGGCACGATTGAAGTGTAAACTGTGAAGCACCTTTTCCCTTAAAAGAGCATATTCAACAAAATGCAGTCTGTGCAAAGAGCATGAGCTTTTGGTCATGTTGCTAAAAAGTGCATGTAATAGTTTCTATTGAATTATACGGGGGATTACTTTGGCCCTTGAACAACATTTGTTTCATAAAATGGTCACAGCATAAATTTCCCTTAATACTGATCAAAATTAACAACCATATGAACCATTCAAAATGTGACAAATAAACTGACATCGAATTTCTATCATGTAGTCTGAGCTTGAAGCCACATAAGTAAAAAAACACTTAACTCCTGTAAAGAGATTATGGATAACTTTAATTCATGAAAATAAATGTACATTGGGAGATTTAGACATTCTTCCGACATTGATAGTTTGCTAGTTTTTAAAACCAAGATAATTTCTTAGCACTGCACAGCATACATGTGAGACCTATTTTCCATAGCCAATCAACAGCTAAAGCATCTAAAATCAATAAATAATAATAATAATAATAATAATAATAATAATAATAATAGATGGTAGACATAAAGTTTTAATAGATGGAAGACAGAAAACACAGGAAAGCATCAAACATTTATAGGAGTTAAAAAGGAATACTTTGCAATAATACGAAATTATTAAATGTTGGCACAGTATGACATAAATTGTAACATTTTATAGTCAGAAAGACTAGGTTGGACAGGGCTGCAACACCATTAAGATATACGTTTTTGAGGCACCAGTAAAATGGATTACCAACAGGTACAAATATAATTAAACATACCTGAATTGATCCATGGAAAACTGAAGCACCATTTCTTGGAATTGTTGTCTTATTCCCTTTCCAAGATTTTCCTTCTCTGTCTCTGTCCATTTTTTATGATTCAGCGAGAGTGGAAAATTTGTCAATGCCATTCTGTAATTAGCAACATGAGAATTCTCCACCGGCCCATCATGCAAAGGAGAGACCTTTTTACCATTAACCTGTATCAACATAATGTGTCCTCGGTGAAGAAAAGGCATTCCAACTTCAAATTATAAAGACAACTCATATAAGCGAACTCAAACAAATATATAAACTCAAGCCACTAATGTTACATGGGTTCAGAATTGTCAAAATTTTCATGCCTAAAGTTTGGGCACATAATGGAAGGCACAAATGGGCAAAGAAAGGCTTCAGACGAATTCTAAAATTGAAAAATCATGATTAGTAAGCAAAAAAGCTTATGCTCACATACATTGATGTTTGTGAAGACTGACCCTTCGACTCAACAAAAAAACTACTCGTAGCTAATAGCACCAAGCATCATTACGTATTCATAATGGAAATATTCAAAGCTAGATGAATTTTTTACAATAATTTGTTTCTGAGTTACAGTAATTGGACAGATATCTCATATAAGGATATTTCACCCAAAAAAAAAAAAAAAATCATACAGACAATGGAGATATAGATCCCTAGATAAAAATAAAAGGATCTAAGCTGCATAGGTAATCAAACTAAAAGAAAACCTTCAGTAAGATTTTACAAGCCTAAAATGAACAAAAATATTACCTTGGGATACTTAGAATTTGATGTCTTTCGTGCTGATATCAATTGTATCCGCGGATCCTTCCTCAAGCCCAATGCCTTTCCCATAATTTTTCTACACGACAACTGAAAATCTTTCAAAATTTTCACCCTTTCCTTCAATTTATTATTCTCCTCAATTCTTGCTTCAATCTGAGTTAACTTATTTCGAATAAACTTCTGACATGACCTATTCCTCTTAATAGCATCAATAAACACCTGAGCTGATTTTGGAAAACTTGAGTAGTCCAACTCCAACGTAGATAATCTGCTACTATCCAATTCATTCTCCTCAGCAGAAGCCGACTGCCCTATCTCCACATTATCACTAAACAAATTCACAGCATTATCATCTTCTTCAGTAACTGGAAACACTTCACAGGCAGTATTTCCTTTTACTAATGAATCATCTGAAACTTCAGTCTCCGGTTTCTCTATTTCATTTTTCAAATTTTCTGTATCAAACAAAATAAATACAATTATAAGATAAAATTAGAGAAACACTAATTAAAAGAAGTAAATTCAGATACGTAACTGCAATTTACCTTGATTGTTATTGCTATCATAGGCGGCAAAACGGCGTTTAACAGCACAAAGTGTTTCGAAATCATCCTCCTCGTCATCTGAAACCGGCGGAAGCGCACAAAGGGGCTTTAAAGATAACGGCTCGAGTGAATCCGTCGACGTCGCAAACCGATTCTGGACGCTCCGAAACAATTCAAAGTCGTCCTCGCTCTCCGAATCGGAAACGGACGCGCCACCACAGGAATTGCCATCTGCTTCGGCGCTTCCGGCGGAGACAGAAGCTGAAGGAGAGAGATTGGTGAGGTTATTGCCGGTTAGCATACAGGCTTGCCTGAGAGCCTCCATGTCGTTTTGGAAGTTGTCTTCGTCGTCGTCTTCCTCTTCCTCCTCTTCATCGTCGTCATTTTGGCGTCGAAAACGAGACATTGTGTGATCAACCGATGGCGTTTGAAGGAGTCTCTTAGGGCTTATAGAGAAGAATCGCGGTGGAGATTTGAGGGCAAAAGCCTTTTTGGAATAATCTTGACTTCCATGTTTTATTAGTTTGTTCTAGCCAGGAAACGGAGAAATAAAAGCCATTTTTTTTTTAATTTTATTTTCTTTTGATTATTGCGCTTGGGTTGTTTGTGGGTGTGGGCTGAAATAAAAGCCGACGTAGAAAAGTGGGATTAATGCCGCCTGTGTCCTTGTATTTTTGTTTTTGTGTTTAAAACGTTGCTCTACTCTGTTTTAAAGATTATTATATATTGGACAAATATGATATTGATCTAATTTAATAGTTTAAGAAAAACCATTCATATTTAAAAAGTGTTATGAAAACCTCATTTTATACCCAAAATATAGTTAAATTAAAAACTTAAGAAAATTAGAAAAAATATATAAAAATTGAACACGATTAATTTTTGTAGTGCATGAATAATATTAATTTCATTATTTAATTTCAATCTTTTTTTTCAAGTTTATTTTGTGATATTATTTTTATTTATTAATTCAAATCTTATTTTCTAATTTTCTAATTTGATTTTTTTTTTAGTTATTAATTAAGGACATTTTTGGTATAAGATAGGGTCTCGGTCAAATCTTCAAAGTTGTGGATGGTTATTATAATTTTATGACACCTCAAAAAGGTTATTTTAATTTTTCCTTGTATATGTAGTGTGTTAATTTTTTCAATTTTTTTATATTTGAGTGTCTCTATTTTTATTTTTTTTATTCGAATGTGTTGATTTTAATTTTTGTTTTCTAATCAAATGTTTTAGTTAGATTCTATCAAATACATACTAACATGATAATTAAATTGATACATCAGCATAGAGATGTATTTGCTTATTATGCATGAACATCTCTTTTTTTTTTTTTCTGATCATGCATCTATATTTTTACTTTTTTTCTATTTGAATGCATGTATTTTTATTTTTTTATTTGAATATCTATACTTTTAAAATTTTATAATTTTGGTGCTTTTAAACTTCACATTCTTATGTAAGCCACATTTGACTAAGTTAAATAAAATTAAAATTTTTATAAAATGTAATAACAATTTATTCAAATTAAAAAAATAAGAATAAAAGGGGACTTGTTTGAAATGAAAAAAAAAATCATATTGACTCAATTTCCTCCACTTTTTCAAAAACCAAATAAATCTCCACCTTTAATTTTAAGAGGTAAGAAAAATTAATAATTTTAAAAAATCATTAATTAATAATTTTTAAAAAATCATTATACAAAAAACTGATTTTTTTAATATGTAATTTTGTATGTACACCGATTTTATCAAATACACACAAAAGCCAAGTTTCATCAAAATCCTACACTTTCTCATTTCTTTTCTTACTTTTTTATTTTCCATTTCATTGCCTAGGCAATTATGTTTCATACAATTTTATTTTTTTGAAGCTTTTTATCCGTATTTTTTTTTAATTGTAATAAAATTGTATTATTTTAATTTATAATTTTATTTAACTTATCAAAATAAGGATGGAATCAAATTCTTGAGTGAAAACTTGCTAGCTTTTAAAATTAGAAACATTGAATTGATAAAATTTTGAGAGTACAAACACACGACTAAAAAAAAATGTTGCTTTCATGCAATCTTGGCGTATGCATCAATATAATGAAGTGTCAATTTTTGGCCACATCAACATGTATTTAAAATAATTTAAAAGGAGCACTTTATATGAGAATATAAAAATTCACACACTCAATTAACAAAAACAAAAGTTGACACACTTAATTAGGAAAAAAAAATCATACACTAAAGCTATAATAATCTCCTTTTTGTCCTAATTTCTTTCATGAATGTTTGATTTTTATCTTCATGGCATCCTTATGTCATGGATGATGGATTTTATTGTATTTAAGCTCCGAAAAGTAGCAGAAAAAATAAAACGAAATTGCAGCATATAAGTTCCTAAAAGAAAAAAATTGATTAAAAAAAATCCATATATTTTCTCACATTTTCTAATTTTTGTTGTATTTCCAGTTCAGGTTGTATTGTATTAAAAAAATAAAATTGTTTTTGCATCATTTTTTTCTTTTTTATTACATATTCTTTTTTCTTCATATTCCTAATTTTTATTGCATTTCAAACTCAATTTTTTATGGGTAAAATACACATCCATCTTTGTACTATTTAGTATTGTTTATTTTAACATTCTACTCAAATATTGTACAAAACAAACCCTATAATACTCAAAGTTGAGACAAACCAACCCTTCTATTCTACTTATGACCAATCATATGATGATTCGTGATTTACAAAAATGGATGAAATGACTCGTTTATCCCAACTATGACTAGTTTGAAACATCATGCTCTTTTTAATAGGAAGAACAAGTAAAGTAGAAAACGTTATCCAAGCATCTTGATAAGTTTGGAAATGACCTAATCTAGCAACTCCGTGCTTGTTAACCTTTTTTGAACTTTAATAGGTAATCTATTACTCTTTTTACTTCATCCCTTGTTAATCTTGGTAGGAAAAAATACATTTGGATATTCATTGATGCTAATGGATCTCATAATCCACTTAAACCCTAATAAATATGATTGTTGGCTAGGTTATATGTGTTTGGTATAGGTCAAGATGTTTTTATTTTTTTCATGAACATCATCTATATCTCTCCAACTTTGTGAGTTAAATTTTAAATCTTTATGATGTAAGGTGGCAATCCATTTAAATCATATTGTTAGATACGACACACTACTAATTTTTCAAGCTAAAAATAGCTACTTTCATATTTTATATGTTTTATATAGTATTAAATGTTTTTTTTTTCTGATTTTTTCATGATAACACCATATAATGGTCTCCTATCTATATGTGAAATTTCAGATTTTTATAATATAGGATGTTTGTTTGTTTAAATTACTTATTTGGCTATTGCGATGATCGATTTTTTAACTTCAAGTTGGTTGCTTTGGTGTGTTATGTGTTTGGTACATCCTTAGAGACTTTTACTTCTGATTTTTTTACATGAACAAACCCTCTTTATGTCTTCCATCCTTGTGTGAAATTTCAAATTTTTATGACATAGGATGGCCATCCTTTTAAGTCCTTTTTATTTTATAGAAGCGAGTGATTTCTCAAGTTAGAAATAGTTTTTGTCATGTTTTGTATGTTTGAGATAGTCTTACATGTTTTTATCTCCTAATTTTTTTCATATGAATATCATCTATTTGTCAACAATCTTTATATGAAATTTCATATTTTTTGGACATAGGATGGTTGTCCATTAAAATCTTTTTTTTTTTTTTGGCTAGGGAAGCAATAATATGTCAAACTAAAATTGATTGTTGTTGGTATTTTACATGTTTGACATGCCCTTGGATGTTTTTAGATTTTAATTTTTTTCATATGAGCATTGTCTACCTATCTTTGAGTCATGCCTAAAATTTTAGAATTTTAAGGTGTGTTTTGACATTTTATTGGAATTGATTTTTATTACTACTTGCGTTTATTGGGTAGATATGGAATTGTTGAGTCTCCTATATTTTAGGAACCGATGATGATTTCATATAGAATCTTGGTTACAATTAATAAAATATTTCTTATTTTATGTAATTAAGAAAATCAAGTCTACTTAACGAGTCTCCTATTTAATAAGGACGGACGTTAGTCTCGTCATCTCGATCGGAAAAAAAATAAAAACAAAGAAAAAAAGGGACGCCGGGCTTAACCCGGCCCAAGTCTAAGAGCAAAGCTACAAGCCGGCCTAGTGGGTCGAAAGCCCATTAGGCCTAATAACCCCATTTTTAGCCAATCCCCTAGGTAAATCGGTTAGATTTTTTTTTTTAAATACATGTTTTTTATTTTATGCCTAGTTTAGGTTTAATATTTTAAAATTTTGAGTTCTTATATTTATTTATTTAGTCAATGTTTAATTTTAAGTTTTGTTTTAACAATTAGATGAGATAATTAATAGGTGGATGAATGGTCAAGTCTCCTAATTTTTAAGGATTGATGACAATTCGCCATTAAAAAAAAAAGCTAAAACATAGAAAACACTATTGTTTTTTTTTTTAAAAAAAAAAACAAAATCTTCTATCTAATAAGGGTCGATGTTTGCTCAAATTGATCACATTTAGTAATTAGGTCATTGTTTGACATACTTGGTTATGTTAAAATTTAAATTAGATCAATGTTGAACTAACATGACGCTTGAAAGAGGGAACTACCAATCAATTCAATATGATGCCACAAAAAAAAAAAAATTAGTTTAGATAATAAACTTGAAAACTAACTCGAAATATTTTGACAAAAATAAAACTTTTAGGAGATAAAATTTTATGATTAAATTAGACGTGATACCTTTCCTAGAAAAGAAAGTTTTTGGATGATTGATATCTTTCCAACGGCATAGCCAATCCTTATCCCCGAATCTCCGAACTAGTATCAATTTTAATCTCCGAACCGAGTACCCATTTTAGATTTTCGGTTCCTTCATTACTAGGTGGCAACTCTAAAATTAATAATAACCGATATCCCCAAATAAACAAGATTTTCAACAAACAATAAATAAACTTTTTTGAGAGTCTCACGAATGTCAAGTAGTGAAACTATGTTAGATTTTCAAACTTTGTATTTTTATTTTTTTTTATTTCTCTACGAGGTTGCATGAACATCTTTATTAGCAAGGTTGTGCGTATAGTGGACTAAACGTATATGCTGAATTTATTCATTAAAAAAACTAATTAAAATTTTAGTTAATTTATTATATACTAATTCATGTTATTTTTTATTATTTTGATATGAGTCTAAGTTACAAAATAAATAAATTGGATTAGAAATGAGTCTCACCTAGTATAAGGCTTTGGACCACATAAGGGTTAACATGGGTATTCTAGCATAACCAATAGACATGCCTTGTCTTTAGGATGCATTAGAAAGATTAACTTGGTGGGTTTGGAGAATGGTTTGCTAAAGGAAA